GATTATATACATACATATGTATAAGTTGTGTGATGTATAAGTACATCGTTTATTTGAATTTTGTAAGACATTGCTGAAGTCCTTTCAATGACTTTTTGGTAGATAAGTAAATCTAGGGTTTTTTTTGAGGAATACAATACCTATTTATATATAATACTCCCCTAGCTGATAGCTTTGCTTATCAATCAAAATGTACCAAAATTGTAAAATAGATTGTCATTTAGCATTTCATCGAATAGTGTTGCACATTTGCCGAGAATTTCCAAATACCCGCCTTTCAGAGTATTTTATGAAAAAAAGGCGGCTAAAAGTTTGGATGTGAGCCAAGGCGGGCTAGATGTGTGTTGTAGCTACAACGGGAACATCAATGGGTTGACTTGTTCGCTATTTATTGTAGAGTCTATGCCTAAAGAAACTAAGAAAAGAGTGAGGAACAAGATTGCCATGGACCACCCTCAAGTGTTGTATTATTTCGTATTCGGGCTGAGGGCGTGCGAATTGCTGTCGCAGTAGAAATGTATCTGTCAGATACAAATGTATCTGCGAGTTGCTTTCACACAGTCTCTGTGATGTCGAAATGAGCCAGAGCGGGCTGTCATATGCTGCCCAAAATTCATGCCGATTTCTGTTGTCCACTTAGCTATAAATACACATATTAAAGTAAGCAAACTATTTGCATAATGCCTATTGATAAACAATTGGCTTAGGCTTATCGCTGCGCTCTTATCAGCGGCTGTTGAATGCAACAAAAATAAATTCATTCAGCACAATTTCTAGAGCTACTTTGTTAGCAGATCATGTGCATACATATACATAGATATACTTACTATATAATCTAGTTATACTCACATAGATCTGTTCATATTTCTCGCTATAGAAGCTAATGGGTTGCTCCAATTGGAGCATCGCCTGTTCGCTGTTGCCCTTGGCCAAGTATTGTATGCTTCCACTGCCCTCGACGTATTCGTATAGCTCCTGGGCTCGCAGGCTGTCCAGGTAATTCTCGAACTGGCCGCTCACCTGACTCAGGCCAAGCAGCAGCAGCGGCAGCAGCAGCCGCCACAGTTTTTTATTAAAATTTTTCATTGCAAAGTTTGAAWTCTATTTTGTATGATTTTTTAAGAGATTCTCAAATTAATATTTCTTTATCTGTGCGTGTTTCACAATTTTGCGATCAGCATTTTTACACACACAGGCACACACACACACACTCACACACACACGGAGAAGCGCGCGTAGTGTTTGCTTCCAAAAATAACGTATTTAAAAATAACGAACCGGCAGACAACTGAGTATCTATCGTCTATAGCAATACTATATATATATTACATATATATATTTAAATATATATAGGAATAGGTCTATGGAATTGTGTCTTGGAGCACCTTGTCTCCTTTATAGCTTTCGATTCGACTCGATTCTTTAGCGGAGCAAAGTGAACCGCACGCGATGAAAACAAAATCTTCACTGAATCGCAGCTCCGCTCTGTGGAATTCTCTTTGGTTCGGTGCCTTTGACCGTTAACACTTAACAGAACTCGGTGTGTGGGTGTGTGCGTCTGGAGTCTTCACACTTAACAGTTGTCTGTGTGTGTGTGTATGCCTCTGCACATTTGACTCTTTTTAACAGCGCCTGGAGGCTTCATCTCCGCTGTTAACATGCCATCCACAATCAAATGCATTTCGCTTTTATTTCAAATGGCATCCAAATGCATACATTTAACAGCGAACGAAAGTTAACAGAGCGTGCAGCATGAGCAAACAAGAGCGAAAAGGGCGTGAAAGAGCGGGCACAGATCTAAAAAGAACTAGATTTTATATAGATGATGATTTCGCTTACTTATTTATGACATTTCGCTTTTACCGTTGACATTTATGTTCCACACGCATTAAGATCGGACGTTTCTTGTTTTTTTTTTTTTGCAAATATTTTACAGCCGAAGAGTTGGGCAAATTATTAAGAAAAATTATAAATATAAACTAAGTGGAAAATTTGTACAAAAAGGATTTTTGGACATGTGTTGATTTTGCGAGTTCTTGGAAGTGAAAGAAATATATTAATTTTTTTATTTATATACATATATACATGATATTGTATTTATAGGATTTTTGTCGATTTTTTTTTTTTTTTTATATATATATTTGTGCTCACATATATAAAAATGTTTATTAAATATTTTTTAATATGTTATAATTTGCATATATTGTACAATCGAATATACTATATACACCTATATAATATTTGTACCTACTGCTATACCAATTGGTGATCTAATGCTGGTAAACCCAACCCATTTAATGACATATGTACACCCTGAGCTATCATCAAAAGAATCCCTGCATACACCTTTATAGTTTATAGAGCTTCTACTCTCCCTTAGCTTGGAATTGCTCAATCCGGTGGGTGTGTTTGGGTTGTTTGCCTGATAACCACAAGGTGGGGCGTTTGTAGGGTGACCCCAAAAATTGAGATCAACATTTAGATGGGGCGAGGCACGCGTTCCAATTCCGTTGAACTGAACTTCAGGCGAGGGCGGGCACGTGCCGCTTGATTGGACTGTGAACTCCCTCTCCCTCTCTCTCTCTCGCTCTTGATGCCACCGTGAAGCGCCGCAAACGCAGTCCCTTAGCCACACACACACATATGAACACTCTGTGGCTCTGTAAAAATAAACAAATGTAAAGTTCTGAGGCAGAGCGACAGAGCGTCTGTGACTCTGGCCTCGTCTTTGGTTTTCGGCTTTATATATAATGATCATCTACTTGGGCTATTTATGATGTATTTCTCGGTTAATTAGTTGCAGCTGGTTGCAAGGGGACAGGGGCACGGCAGTTGCTTCCGCATGCACACACAGCAGCCATCAGTCAGTCCATCATGTTGTCCAACATGGAATTCCAACTCGAAAGTGAATTTTCTTTGCTTTAACTATATTTGGCAGCAGGGCGCGTCTGTCATGGGAATACATGCATACATATTATATTTGAATATTTGTATATGTATGTACGTGTGTGTGTGTGGTAGGTGCCGCTTGATCGGTGATGGATGGCTGCCTACTCCCGAAATCATTTATCTTCAGGGAGTTGCAGCCGAATTCCAGGAATCAGAGCGAAACGTCGGCATAGATCCAACAATTAGTTTTAATCGTATGTGAATATAGAGAAAGAACTCTAAAATACTTTAAAGTATTTATTATTGGCATTTATAATAAATTGAAGTTTTGTTAACGCGATATAGATGGAACCAGCGGGGAAGGGAGGCGGAAAGGCAAGATGTTTAGCAAATGGGAGAGAAAGAGGAGGAAAAAACAAGAGGGTTAGAAGTAGGATTAGGTAGACAAGCAAGAGGAGGAGTATGATAGAAAGGATAAAAAAGGAGTAAGAAGCACGAGAAGAAAAGCTGAAACGAAGCGAAGGTGGGTAAAGAGCATATCATATAACTATATACATATGTTATAATGCTATTAAGTAACAAGCATTAACTGTATATATCGATGTGACGGAACATTTCTATCACAATACCAAAATTTTGGTATTTTGTACACTAATGTAGATTGCAAATAATTAAAAACTCAAATTAAGCATGTGATTAAAAGATTTTAAATTGTTTTCAGCCACGGCCAATTAGCTGGACGAGGCCTCAGCTTATAAAAGAGATGAAACTCCACCGAGTGGCGAATCGCATTCAAAATGCTTTCTGTGTGGTGGCCACTGTGGAATATTGTGCTGTGGTTTCAAGTGGTGCGCATGATGCCACAGCTGGACGAGTTTTGTGAACACCATTCAGCTAATACAATGGTGAAGCTTGATTTATATTAATATATTGATTTATTATCTATATTATAAGCTATATATACATGTGCAAGTGTATATTATACATTTGTTATTATTAATTATTATTTTCAGCACTTTTGCTGCGATCTGCACGACGAATCGCCGCAGTTCAGCGACTGTCAAACGGATTGGCATGACAAAATTCACTATACCACCGATGAGGATGAGCTGCTCTATTTGTATGTGAGTATTAAATAGGGTTAGGAGGGGGTTAGAGATATGCAGGTAGGGGGTAGGGTATGTAGGTCCGTAAGTAGGTGCTGTAAGAGTCGAGTCTAAAGGGAGATATAAGATCTGTATTAAGTTCGATCATATAGAGCCTTTAGACTCTTACAGTCAATTAGCAAATATTAGTCTCTACTAAAAGACTAGCTCGTTAGGCCAAGTCTACAGCTACTCTGCCAGCCCTACTTAATCATCATCTTGCCCAACTTGTAATAATCTCTAATATCCATCCACTTGCAGTGCACCGCCGAATGCACATACAATAGCACCGACTTTCTGGCAGCCAATCGTCAGAGTCTAAATTTAAGTCACGTGCGCGAACACCTGGAGAACGACCTGGCCAATGCTGCAGATGAGGCGCTGCTCTACGAGGCATACGTCAAGTGCGACAAGCATGGTATGTGAGACTCATTTAGTTACAAATTCATAGTTAACAACTCCTCTTCAGCTCTAGGACAACTCGAGCACAAGGACGTGCAATTGTTGGCCAAACGTCTGACTACATATGGCTGTCATCCGTTTCCGGGTCTGGTGATGGAGTGCATGGTCAGGGAGATGATATTAAAGTGTCCAGCGGAGCGCTTTCACAAAACAGCGCAATGCCGAGTCGTGCGCCAATATTTGCAAAAGTGCGAACAACGGCCGAAGAAATAGTTTTGTATAAAGAGGTAGAGAAAGGATGAGATGGCGCAGCAATAAATGAAAATCGTGAAGAGCAACCACAGATTAATTTGTCAAGACTCCAGATAGCAGGAATACTGAAGCAGGTTTGAAGAGAAAAGTGTACTCCTAATATCGCTAAAGCACTGTCCATCCATGGATACATCTTAAATAGGGACAGTTGAATAATTTATTGAATAAGAGCAACTCTTCCATGGCCATGCATGGGCTCAGCTTCCAGCAGGCAACTCTGACAAGTCCCCAGTCCACTGTGGTAACCCCCAAACGGGGTAATAGAGAAGCAAGGTCAGGAGAGGATCATCCTTCAAGCGGATATACCAAAGCAAACTCAGCTCATTCACAGTAATATCTTAAAAGTAGAAACAATTCAGTTAATTTACAATTTTTTCCTTACACTTTTAATTGCTCTCTAACATTACGTTAAGATACAGTCTAAATTACGCTAGATCATGAGACGTCCTGCTGGATTCTCTTAACCAAATCGCCTTCGAGCTGCAGTGCATCCGACTTTTTGAGCTGCTTGTCAAAGCGTTTCTCAAACTTCTTTGTCTGTTTCTCGCTCAACTGCTCGACGGCCAGATGCTTTGTGTACTTCTTTAGCAGCTTCTTCTTCAGCTTTTCCTGGAAGATGCCATCGGGCTGCTTGGACACTAGCTTCAGCAGCTGTGCAGTCCAATCGAATTCGTTGGTTTCTGCAGTAGCTTCAGCTGCAGCCGCCGCTGGCTCCGCTGACTCTAGCTTGGATTTCTTTTTGGGCGGCGCCTCTTGCTCTTGTTCCTTTTGCTTTAATTCTGCCTCCTTGGCCGCCTTGGCTGCTTGAATCTCGGCCTGTTTGGCCTCCTTCATTTTGTTCAGCTCCTTCTCGAGTATATCCCACACCTGTGCTGCTTGCTGGCGTGGCATACGCATGCAGTTGCCCACAAAGTTCTCAAATTTCACCTTCTTGCGCGGCACATTGTCCACGCTCTGCAGCCGCTGGAAGGCGCTACGCAACGTCGGCGTCAGCTGGTACTCGCTGCTGTCCAATATTGCACGTATGATATCCATCCAGCTCTCCTGTTTCTGTGCGTTCTTGTTCCTTGGCTCCTTGGGCGTGAAGTTTTGGTTGGAATACTTTTGAGCCTCCGAAATGCATTTAATGTGCGCTACATATTCCTCTTCATAGAAATCTTTGAGGCAGTCCATGCACGAAACGTTTTTTGTCTTCCCCCGGCATTTTGTCTGGTAGTGTTTTTCGACGGCGGGTTTTTTGACCGACTCGCCGCAAATGTTGCAGGTGAAGAAAACCATAGTTTAAGAGAATTATTCAAGAAATTGCGGCCAAATGGAAAGACGCGATGTATTCCACGTGCGCGCTTTGCTTTTTGTTTTGATTATCGTTAATCGATTGCAATTTTCTTGCCGTTCTGTTCTGTAAACAGTTGTGACACTGTTGGCTTCGTCTACTGCACTGTTGCTACTCTGCTGATATATCAATAATCGATATTTTTATCTTTTTTGCAACTGTTGCAAATTCTTTGTTCTGTTTCGGCTGCAGTTGTATAATTGCACATCGATGCACAATTGCATACATAATTGCACAACTGTTGTACATATTTATAGCTCTTCTGAATCGGCTGTCACTGTTAATCCTCTGTTATCTGATGAAAAATAAACGGTTCGTGGTAACGTGCTATATCATTCAGCTTCTGTCTGCCTAGCTTGCAGAATCGAGTAGTTTTGCCATCTCTAGCGCCGCAATCAGCTGTTTCGCGCACGCTGATAGTGAAATGTGGTTGCCAATGTTGAAATTGCAACGAATCGTGCCGCATGGACCGCTGCGAAGTCTGACGAACCATTGCATCAGAATGAGCAGCACAGTGTCTACAGCTGCCGCGGAACAAACGCCACCCGCCAAATATGAACGCCAACCAAACGTGCTGCGTAAAAAGCTGAGCTCAGTTGTGCCGGGTTCTGTGAATTTACAGGTGCTCGGCGCAGGCGCCAATGGAGCGCCCAGCGCTGTTTACTTGTTTACCGATCAGTCCCGCTACCTGTTCAACTGCGGCGAGGGCACACAGCGTTTGGCACACGAGCATAAGACGCGCCTATCTCGCCTGGAGCAAATTTTTGTGACACGAAACACGTGGACCGCAGTGGGCGGACTGCCGGGCCTGGCTTTGACCATTCAGGATGCAGGCGTGCGCAATGTGGGACTGCACGGACCACCGCACCTGGACACCATGCTGCAGAGCATGCGCCGCTTTGTGGTGCTCAAGAATCTCCAGATGCAGACAATAGACAGCACACTGGGCGTCACATTCGAGGACTCGATATTGAGCGTGCAGCCAGTTGTGCTGCGCAGCGAGCAACAGCCTCTGCAGCCCATTCTCAGCTATATCTGCAAACTAAAGCCACGCCCAGGTGCGCTCAACCTGGTGAAGTGCGTCGAGGCGGGCGTGCCGCCAGGCCCGTTGCTGGGGCAGCTGAAAAACGGACAAGATGTGACGCTGCCCTGTGGCACAGTGGTGCACTCTGTGGATGTCACCGAGCCCGCCGAGACGGCGCTCTCCTTTGTCTTCATAGATGTGCCCAGCGTGGATTACCTGGAGTCCCTAAAGGCGCAGTCGGAGCAGTACAAACAGCTAGCCAACTCGGAGCTAACTGAGGTGGCGCTCGTGGTGCACTTTAGTCCACCCGAGCTAACAGCTCATACAGAGTATCTCGACTTTATGCAGACTAACTTCTCTGCCGGCACACAGCACATTTACCTCAACTCGCATTTAAATCGATTCTCTGGCTATGCGGCGGCTCATCGCATTCAATACCAGCTGCACCAGCTGGCTCCGCGCTTCTTTCCGCTGCTCGCCGAGGCGGCGGAGCTGCAGCTGAGCTGCCCCAGCAACACGTTGAGTCATAGCCTGAAGAAAACGAAGCTGGATAATGACGTCGAGGAGCAGCGAGAGAATAAATTGAATGAGAGTCAATTAACGAATGCAAAGGAAGTGAAGCTGCAGCAGGTGAGACAGCAGCAGGGCTTCGTTTCCATGAGCAGCTTCCACTTGAGGCCTAAGAAGGGTGAGTGAACGATATCTATTCACATATATCTGTATATCATTTTATTTATTTATTTTTATTTTTTTTAA